TTAGGAGTGTGACTTTTCCATGATAGCTACTGCTCAATAGAACAACTTTCTCCTTATGATTCAGCAGGTTCCTATCTTTTCAAATTTCCAGAAAGTCATGAAACAATGTCATTTTCTGTAAGCATTGGGTTAGGATGAATCCAGAGAGTGTTGTGGGTTGCATGAATGTGGTCCTGGGTTTTAGTTGTTTTTGTTTTTGTTGGTTTTTTTGGTTTAATTTTTATGTTTTATATTGTGATTGTGAGCCACCAAGAGATGCGTAGCCATACAAGTATTAAATAATTTACTTAAATTATCTATTTATCTATAGAATCCATTTTTCCTAACAGTTTGAGCTATATAGAGTGTTTCTTACAAATGCTTTAAAATCCTCCCATTATATTTGGAGCTGACCTATCCCATAAATCAACCCTTTTTGACATATATTGGGCTAGAGATGAAAATAAATTGAAATCAAAACATTTTTTGTAACATGTGTAGAAAATGGTTGTGCCTGTAAAGTGTTTCCACTTTACATCTCAATTCCCTCTCCCAGAAACCTTCTGGATATTTACATCCTGTCTCTTTCTCCTATTTTGGGACTGTAGTTTTGTAATTTCTGTTGCTACCACTTATCTTCCAGAGAATACCTTACCTGACATCCTTTTTTCTAATTCCAGAGTCTGTGAGACATAGGGCTTAAAACCTGTTCTGTCTTTTTGACAATTAAAAGGTTAACATGCTGAAAAATGAGATATTAAAATTATGCAACTTTCTGGAATGTAAACTGAAGTTGTGATTAGATTATTCATTCTTCCTTCCAATCCTTGGAAGATAGACTAATCTCTTTTGAGAAAAACATAACCAAACTTTATTACAAAAGAAGAAAATACAATACATGAAGACTTTACTAATATTAAATATTAGAAAACCAAACATTAAATGGGATCTTGAAAGAAATGCTGCAAAATATTTAAATTATCTATTTACTACTAAAACTCTCATTGCCATGACCTTTAACTGGATGAAACAGTAAACTATAGGGCAACAATTTATGAACTAAGGTACCTCAAATGGGGTAACTTACAGAATGTATCCAAAATCGGGAAATGAAATTTGGGCAAGTTGTGGCTGCTCCAGTGCTATTGGCTGCTGCTGTGCAACTGCTGTAGTCATATGATCTTCATTTGCAACATTCCACAATGGCTTCCAGCCAGTCTTACAATCCCTCTTTCCCTTCTCTACTCAACAGCAGCCACTTGCTAATATGTTAGAAAGGGTAGGGTAGGGTAGGATAGGGTAGGGTAGGGTAGGGTAGGGTAGGGTAGGGTATTGTAGGAAAGGAAAGAAAAGGGAAGGGAAAACAGAAGGGGAAGGGAGGGGGATATTTCCAATGCTCCTTGCCAGATTCCCACAAGGAAACTCAGTAGGAAAACCAGTGATAAATCAGAAGTCACTTCTGCTCCCATTGCTTTTTTGCCTGCCCTTGGACATTCTATTTCTCTTTCAGTAAAAAGAAATACATCTCTGAAACATTGACTAAAGGCCATGGATTGTCTAGTAAATTATAAGAATAGCATAAAAACAATATTATTCTTTATGCATAGCTTTAAATTTGAATTAAAAAGCTGAGATTCTTCTCCCATCTTGGTTTCCAAATTTCTCTTTAATGTTTTCCCCTTAATTTTAAAAATACCTCCAAATCTACATCTTCAGAAAAGAAGGCCTGAGTAATCTGATTTTCCTGTCATCACGGGCCATATCTCAGTTGTGGATATGAATTCTTTTGTGAATATGGAGTTGCTTTAATGAATAAATAAATTATTTTGAGATCATTTGGAAATTGGCTAGTTGTGAATGTCAGAATTTGCATCCTACACATTCATAATATAGAAGCATATTGAATGCAATTTAAATTACTGTAATATAAAACCAAAGTATCCTCAGGAGTGATATAAGTGTTATATTTTAGCATCCTATCATAATTCCATTAAGAACCATCTAAAGTTAACTGCAGTATCATATTTAGAATAATCAATCAGTTCTATAATAACCTACTGGAATGACACTTCAGATCAATTCATGAGGGTAACTTGATATCTAGATTCACTCTAATCTGCAATTAATCAAATTTGCAACTTGATTAGTAATAGATCCAAACAATATGTGGGACAACTGGATATTTATAAAAGCCTCTTGGCCTGGTACCTTGCTCTTTGGTAAAGCAGCAGAGGGATTTGCCTCTGTATCAATATAATCATAAAGATCACTGGCCTGGAAGGTGCTCAATTTAGTCCTATGAAGTCTTCCTCCAGTGCATAGTGGAGATATTATAGAGACAAGAATTGGCCATAGTTAAATAGCAAGGCTGTAGAAGCAAGTCAAAAGTTCTTGGAAAGAATTAGAGACTGAATAAGGGATACAGACATATGGAGGTAGATCATTTTTCCACCTCCCTCTCTTCACAACCACTGGCATTTTTGCTACTCCCCATGGTTCCAGGTTTATGGTGAAATGATGCTTAAGATGTCACAGCTTCTGTTGAAATATGAAAAGAAAACAAAGGGCGTACCTGGAATTCACAGCATGTAAAACTCCTTGGCATGCTAGTAATACGCTAAAGGAATCAGGACCCATGATGAGGAAATTATGAAGTGGTTACCATTTAAAATCAAGTTGCTGTCAAACAAAAATGAAACAGACATAAGGATGAGAAGGTGACTGGAATGTGTTGTTTTATGTCAAATTACATCACCCAGCTATTTTGGCTTTTTGCCTAGGTTACAGGCTTAATAATGGTCTCTGTTGCCCGAAGATGTATTTCATTTTATATGTATGGTTCTGGTTCTCTTTGGAGAGCTGTTCTTTGCAGTCTTGCAACAGATCAAGATGGGATGTTTTATAATATATTTGGAACTGAGATTACTGGGATTGGAAGATTATCTGCTGAGTTTCCACTTAATGAAACTTTGAATTTAGACTCTAAGGGAAAAAAGTTATTTTGTTTCCCAGGAGAAATTTGCATGCCTACTTTGTATTATGGGATTTAAATCAACAATAATAATATGTTATTTCAATATTTAAGAGAATAAGCTTCACTCCATAGTTCCAAAACTTTTCATCAGAATTTCATCTCCTAATACTTTCATGTATGCCCATTGCTATCTCTGCCTTACTGCTTTGAATTCTGCCTATGAGTTTGCAATCCTGACTGATTACTTGAAACCTTGTCCCTATTAGATCGTCAGTATTAATCTCAGTCTTCCTTCTGGAAAACAGTCTCAGTCCCAGCCAAACTGGCAACCATTCCTTCCTACAGAAGCAGAAATTTAAACATTTAATTGTTAATTGTTGATGTTCTCTGATCAGTTGGAAAATTTCATATTATCTCACTAGCTTATCAATCACTGTCAAATTTGTCAGTATCAGGAGGGTAATGAAAATATTCAAAGTTTACAGACTTTGAATATCTTCACTGCTTGTTTAATCACTGCTTGTTAATCAAGATCTTCACTGATCTTGTTTAATCACTGCCTTGTTTAGCAACCATTTGAAGCTATGAAGGTGATAAAAAGTAACTTTATAATCAGTCCTCATATTTACAACCTTCACAGGTCTCTAAAGCAAAGAAAAGCTGAATTAAGATCATAGGCACAGTCAGGGTTTCAATTAGTGATCACATTGCTTAAGAACCAAATTGCCAGTTCTGGCTCCCAAATGAGGATTACCTGTATTTTGTACAGTTCAATGAGGCATGCATATAACACCTTCTCTTGGGCCAATAATCTTAAAAGAGAACCTTTTCATCTTTGATATCATCTGAGGAAATGGCATCAGGCAAAGACATGTCTTTCCTAGAGAACACGCTGAATTTTTGATCGATAAATAGTCGGCATAGCTATTTTTATCCATTGTGCTAATGATTGCCATTGTTGGTTTACTGAGCACTGTGTTTTTATTCTTGATTTTATGCAATTCCCCCAGATAATTTTTATTAGGCAAACTAAAAATACAAATAATTTTTAAAAGATAAACATTATAGAAACAAACTATATGTCAAAAAGCTGGTGCTGAGAGTTTTCCAAACTTAAAGAATCAGGGACTAGGTTATTTGCTATTCTGGAGAGCAAATGCCAGCCAGAGTAAAATATTGATATGAAATATCAATGTGAGTTGATGTAAATAGGGGCATCCATAGAGGTCAAAAGAATCAAGATGGTGGCTTTGACCATCTCCAAAACCTTACTGTCTTTTAACATGAATCTCACACACACAACACAGATAAAAAGCAGCAAGTTTTTGGTGCACCTTTGCAGCTTTTGACGTTTATGACTCTATCCCTTTGAGCAGTAGGGGTTCTAGATGTAAAACTGATTCCTATGAATATTTCTACCCCAAATCTCTAGCTTTCCTTTCCTGGGTCCTTATTAACTCTCCAGAAATATTTCTGAAACAAATTTGAGGGAGATTAAGGATCATAAGAAATATCACCTTACCAAAGCACTCCTTCAAATTCTCCAAATGTCATTTTTTATTCTTTGAACTACTAAGAGGTTCTAATAGGCTATTCCTCCTAAAGAATCTGTTGTATTGAAGTATCTCCCCCCTCCCCCACCATACACTGCAATCTGCATGCAAAGGCACAGCATATTTTTAACCAATCTTTCAGATGGACAATGTAACTTTTTACAATGTCAGCCCTGTGAAAGTTAAGGAGCACGAATGAAGGCAAAAAGTATTCCCATCATTTCCCTTGAGTAAAATCTGAAATTTACTTTTCACTTTGCAGCCGACATCTGCATATCCCAATAGCTATTTGCATAATGAATGGAGCCAGAGGTTCCAAAGTGTTGTTCTGAGAATTACAGAGGCAGATTAACTGCTGCTTATTTTTACCCCCCCAAGAAGGAAGGAGAAAAAAAATAGCTGCCCATTCTGTTGCCAATTTCATTAACTAAAACAAATCTCAGCTGGAAAAGAGAGAAAAGAACAGAAAATGTCATTTGCTGACATTGTCATTCCTGGTTGCCCAGTAAATAAATGTAACATCTATTTGTCACCATGGAAACACCTTCTGTTGTCCAAAAGATGCAAAATAGAAGAATGTGGGGGCCTGAAAACCAAAGCAATGAAGTAAGAAGCGGCATATTTGTTCATTCATCTTCTGCAGGTGTTAATATTAATTATGTTTTATATTTTTAAAAAAATCCAATGTGTATCTGAGAGATATTCTAAAATGCTTCCTATACAATCTCACATTTGTTTACTCAGAAGAAAATCCACTACATTCATTAGCATTTATCTTTCACTTATTTTGGATAGCAGAAAAATGGAGTTCAGGGGTTCCACCCATAATCAATCAGAACAATCTGCAAAAATCTGGCAAATTAGATAGCCATTAAGAGTTATTATATTGTACTTTTATTCTATTGATTATAATAACTGACATAATCAATGCTCATACATAGAAATAGTCTCTCTCATTTTCTGTCCTTTTCAAAAGCCTGATGAAGTAGCCAGTGTTCGCTTCCTTTTCTGAAGCTGAACTGTATTGGAAGAAGTCAAATTTCTGGGGATGCTGTTGCAGAAAAGAGGGGCAGTGGTTGAAAAGGTCATGCTTTTCCCCTCTGGGCAGTGGGAATGGCTGTCCCTTGCCAATTTGGCTTAGGCCATGGGACACATCACACTCTTAGTTCCCACAGAGGAATTATCATGAAATACCTCATTTCCTTAGAAAGCATTAGCTATATTGACCAGGGGTGAGTTCTACTTATCTTTACTACTGGTTTGCAATGGGGCCGCATGCGCGCGCGCTTGCTTTGCTCATCCGCATGCTCTTCTGTGCAAGCGCAGAAGCATTTTGATGATGTCGGGTTCAGTGGTCGGAGCCTCCCGCTGGTTTTACTCTGGTTCTATAGAACCGGTGCGAACCAGGGGCAGCCCACCACTGATATTGACCCTCTGGACTTGAGATGGGTACAGCTGTGAAGATATTTGTGGATTTCCACCAGAGGTGCCAAATTTGTTTCCGAATTTCTTGAAAGTTCTTTTTTTCCTTTTTTTCTCTATTCTCCTCCTCCTCTTTCTTTCTCTCTGTTCCCATTCTTTCTTTCCCATTTCCTCTCTTTCTCTCTTCCTTCTTCCTTTGTCTGGAATTTTTTACTTCAGTGTTACTGTATTAATATGTGCATCTTTCCCAAGCATAAACAGAACACAAATGCCCTATTTTACAATATATTTTAGCACTAACATTTAACTTTCAAACTGACAAACTTTACTCATAATTTTCATATTCTTTTCAAATGTCTTTCCTAGCATGCATCAGTTATCCACTGATTGAAAAATAAAACTTCATTAATCCTCTTTTTTACAATTTCACACATGCCTGCAAACAAATGACTAACAACTCATCCCCAAATATTTTATAATTCCTTATAATGGGCAGCATTGTTTTATTTGAATTAAATAGCAGCCAAGCAATTCAGAGATCACCAGTTTAGCCTACCCAAATGAGATTTTTATGGAGAAACTCTTGAATTTTGGGGAACTATTGCAAGGATGTTCCCTAGAAGAAATACAGTACAAAGAATTATTTTTTCTTGCATGATAGGAGACCAAGACTTTATTTAGCATAAGCATAAATTATATATGAGACTCTTGCAGTTTTTACAACTGTTACCATAATAAACTTAATTATGAAGCATTAAATTTTAATTGCACAAGTTACTACTGCAAATACAGGCTACAGATGTTTTTGAAAAAAGTGTTTTCTATTCTTTTTAATACTTCTGCAATCTTTTATTTTTCTACTCTTTTATTATCATTATTTTACACTTTTACCTCATAGAGCTTTTTACCTCATAGCCTGTGAGATATTTATATGAGCTGAAATGATAATGGTGTCCTATCATCTGTTACATTTTTGGCAGAAAATAATTTAAAAATACAGTAGGTACAATACATTCATACTGGGTAAAGGACAGCTGGGTTTTATCTACTGGGAATTCATCAGCCCAAATTTTGATTGTATCTTCAAAATATGAAACTTTTACTAAAATGTATCTATCCTGGAGTACATGTTTCAAAGTCTAAAGAAAACAAAACTAAAAGCAAGACAAGTGCAAAATAAAATTTAGATACTGAGAAAAGCTAGAATATTGTAATCAAAGAAACTGAGTTTTGATGCAATTTCTTTAAAATTGTTAAAATGACATTTTTTTCAAAAAGAAATGTATTTTATTTGTTATTAAACAGCTGTACATTTATTTGTAATTTTTCTGCACAATTCTTGTATGTACAATTACATTTAGATCACAGATTATTGTTATTACATATCATGATTATTTCTTCTCGACTATATTATTATATTAACCAAAGCAAGCAGTTATGAAAATTAAACCTTTTTACTTATACAAATTTAACAATAACTTAAAGCAGGCATGTGTCATAAATATTTTGCTTATTTATTTATTATTGGTTTGATTTATATGCCGCCCTTCTCCGGAGACTCAGGGCGGCTTACAATGCGTTAAGCAATAGCCTTCATACTTTTGTATATACCTGCTTAGTAGGGCTTTCAGTCCCCCCTAAGCGGTGTTCTTTTTATACAAAGTCAGCTTATTGCCCCCACAATCTGGGTCCTCATTTTACCTACCTCGAAAGGATGGAAGGCTGAGTCAACCTTGAGCCTGGTGAGATTTGAACTTGCAGTAATTGCAGGCAGCTGGCAGCACTTTAACAACACTTTAGCCGCTGCGCCACCAAGGCTCTCTCTCTTATTTCAGAAATATGTTCATTTGACCCAAGAATTTTCTAATCAATAGATGAAATGAAATTTATTAAATGAAATTATCATCCATTTATTCATTTAAATGAATGCAAGAAAGATGAAATGAGATTACTTTATACAGGGCAAAGTCACAAAATACCCAATTGTCTTGCAAAAAGTTCATGCTATTTCTGCCTAGATTAAGAAAATAGCCTAATAATTACCTTATTTTATGCAAGTCATAATAATAAGGAGATTTCAAGGTTTAATATCCATAAGATCAAAATAGCATATCTCAACCCTGCTCTTCTGTTTCATAAAATTATTTCAGGGAGATGTTTATTACAATTAAGAGCAGGGACTGTGGCTCTCCAGGTGCTGCTAAATTGCAAATTCTGGCAGCTGTACCCTATATGCGGAAAAGCTTGGAATTGCAAGGAGATGGAATTCATCAACATTTGAATGCATATAGAACGATCATAGTTGTTGTTATGATCTCTTGTATTAATTTGTAGAAAAATCTTTAAATCTTTGTGTTTGTGTACTACATTTCTTTCAGCTGAAGCTTAATAAATGTGGCAGTAATGACTTTAAAAAAGAAAGAAATCAATCTATTTACTTCTACTCCTTTATGCTTTCTTTAGGATGTTACTCATATAAGAGCCGCAGTCTGTCTGTCTGTCTGTCTGTCTCTGTCTCTGTCTGTGTCTCTCTCTCTGTGACAAAGTCAATTCATCCAGTTGTTCACCAAGCAGAAATTATTCTGTGAAAATGCTAGTATGATAAGTAGAATTTTTATTGTTGATTCATAGAGCTCTACTTATTCCTTTGAACATCACATGGAGATAATGGGGAGATGTGACTGAAGTCCTGTCCCCTTTTATATATATTACATTTAGAAAGAGTCAGGGCTAATTGTGTTCATATGACCTCCATCCTGACTTTTTTAGATCTAGGATAACTCACTTGCCGTAGCCAACTCAGCTCAATGAACTTGCCATGGGTCAATTCGCTGCAGTCAACATGCCATAAAACAACTCTTTGCAGGATAATTCAATGTAGGATAACTCAAGAGAGGGACAAGTGAATTGCATTGGACCTTGTTTTGTTTAGGTTTGAACTTTCTCAGTTAGACGTCCTTGAGGCTGGGATGAGTGGCAGTTCTACTTGTCCCTCTTGTGAGTTATCCCATGTTGAATGTCCCAAGTTGTCTCATGGTGAGTTGGCAGGGGCAAATTGTCCTGTGGTGAGTTGGCTGTGGCAAGTCAACTGGGGCAAGTTGGTTACAACAAGACAATTCAGGCAAATCAGCCAAAACATGAGTTGGCCATGGCAAGTTGTGACATTCCATTGCAGAATCCCAATAAAACATGATAAGACATTCTAGGAAAAATTTTAGAATGTCATTATTCACATTTCTAATAATCCCATTTTTCTTATAAAAATTAACTCTGAAAAGACATAGGGAGAACTCATCTTCCAATTACATCAGAATTGTTTTTATTTATTCATTATACAAGTAAATTGAACTCACACCCAAATGACTTTTAAATGGCATTAACGCTTGCTTGTATTCTCATAATTTGTCGTGAAGGTTTGGCAAGAAAAATACCATATCTCTGTGGAGCTACATTGCCTGTGTGATACTAAGTCAATCATTTCCATCATATTTTTTAGAACAATCTCTTTTATTTAGTGGTGATATACCATTGACTGAAAGGAATAGCTCCAAATACAGGCATCTTCACATTTTAAATCCTAGATTGCTTCTCCACTAGGCCCTTACACTTTGCAGAAGCATTGTTTTTTGGAGAGGGATATTTGTTTCAGGACAAATTGGAAAACACAATGAATGAAATCCTTTCTCCCCATTCATCATTCGTCATGTGCTGAATGACTTCCAAATGAGAAGTGTGATGGGAAATAGACTGACACTCTATTACTCTAACCTTCACCTCACACACATTTTACTCAAAATGTCTATCCAACCAGCTCTTTGATAGATCATCTTTCTACTCAGAACCTTTCAAATGCAAGCAATAAGTGGTGGAAAATAGAACTATGCTTCCCTAGTCTAACTTGATCCTGATGATAAGAGAAAGAAGGATAAAATAGAAGCAACACATGCTATTGGTTCTATGCTCATCATTTTTTAAAAAATTGTAGACTTCTAGTTCAAAATTCCCCAGTCCACAAAGTTACCCACATTACAAGTATGTTGGATTACAACTTCCATGTGTCCCGAACAGTATAGCCATCATATGATGAAGTTGTATGTGAGCACATTTTGAGGCTGTCAAAAGACCACAGGAACCTTCTCCATCTTATTTTACTGTACAGGCATATTAGAAATCTTAAAGCAGGTCTTCTAAAAAATATTAGGACCCTGTTTCCTAGAACTAGGAAAAAAAGGCATTGAAGATTAATCCATATCAATCTTCATGGAAATTCATTTAGTATTGCTGCTGCTTTGTATGTTAATTAACAGATTCCTACTAAATTCTTGTTTTTAAGCTTGTATTTTAATTCTCAGTCTATTTGAGAGGTAGCAATTTGGGAAGTTTGGATGAAATGCTATGTTGGGGTTTAGTTTTTCCTATATTTCTCCAATATGCAAAATATTTCTTGAAATAATCAGTTGGAGATGCTGTTGGTCAGGCCAACTCTTTTTTAAAGCAAAGTAAAATGCTGGCCTCACTCTAGCTTCTTAAAGAAGGGCACTGAATAGTAGTGATGGATAAAGGCAAGTTTTATGTGTCTCATGTATACATTCAATTTGTAAAACCTATTACAAATTCCTTGAGATTGGGTTCCTAAATCCATTCAGTAATGTAGTTTAACATTAGCAATATGAATATAATTTGTATTAGGAATCTATTTTTTGTTAAAATAAATATATCACTTTGCAAAAGTGAATTGTTTTGAGTAAAAAGAGTGTGATACATGGAATAAATCAGTAACTCAACAGATGTATTATCAGCCTGGTAAATGGCTGGGAACTCTACCAGATAATGAACAATCTGTCAGAAACAGTGCAATGGATGGAGTCCAAGGACAGAGTTTCCTAAATTGTAAAGTATACCATTCTTCTTTGACTTTCTACCTTTTAATCACAAAGACATATAATAATAAATAGTCTTTAATAAAATTGTAAAACTTCAGTAACAAATGATCAATGTTCTGCATCAACTATGCAATTCATAATAAAATTACATTTTGTATCATTCAGCCTGTTGTATAATTCTAGTATGTCACTTTTGTGTCACCGCATATAGGATGTGCTTATAGGAATTTTGGATAGAATTTTAAGACATTTCATTACATTCATCACATTCACACATCTACTCAGATAATCCTCGAATTACTAATTTGTTTAGCAGCAATTCAAAGTTACAATTGCAGTGAAAAAGTGACTTACCACTGGTCCTAATACTTACAACCAATCCCTAAAGTCATGTGATCAGAATTTGGGCATTTGGCAACTAACAAGTATATACAATGGTTGCACAATCCTGAGGTCATTTGATCACAATTGCAACCTTTCCAGACAGCCTCCAACAACCAAAATCAATGGGAAAATCCGGATTTGCTTAATGATTATATGATTCACTTAACATATACAATGATTCACTTAACAAAAGAGGTCATAAAATCAGATACCTTGACAACTGCCTTGTCTCCCAGTGGAAATTCTGGTCCCAATTCTCGTTGTAAATTGAGGACTAAGTATAATGAAAAAGCTTACCATGTATACTTAGTACATGAAGCACATCAGTAATATACCTGGTACTTTATTAATTGTTAGGATCAAATAAGGGCACAATAGAGAAAGCAAGTTGACAATGTCCTTTTAACTGTGAGATTCAGAGGCAACCTATATACATTTGCCATTCTGAGGGCATACCGAGTTAGATATACTTGCCAAATGAGGTTGAAACAGATGAAAATACATAATACATAATGCTATAATGAGTAAGATTAACTCTCATATAAGTATGCATAGACGTGCAAGCATACACAAGAATTTGAAGGCAGTAATCCAAGAATGTTATGATATACACTGCATTTTAGCAATGCTGAGGCTAAAAATCAGCATTTTGCTAAATTCCTGATGGTGAGATCAGACCATTTCCTAATGTTGACTCAATTGTCATGTATTGATTTGACTCAAAATTTGACCAACATATTCCATTTACCACAGCCCATGTGAACTATGCTAAGATATTCATCCTCTTGCTTGATTAACAAAACGCAAGAGGTGAACTGGACCAGATTCACTGACCCTACTGCATTCTTTGGTTCCATTATTTTCCATACATCGATCAGGTAACATTTGCCAAGAGAGTGTAATTGCTGCAAGGTTGCTTTAATTGTGTAATAGTTAATAAAATATCCAGACAGTAGCTTTTCAAAGGCATTTTATTTTGCAAATGGTAACTTAAGTATTGAACTTAAATATTAAATTGAAAAGGTGTGATTCAAACATACCCAGATTAGGTACAATTATAGGAGCAGTAAAAAAGAAAAAAAAATCGGAATATTACATTTCCTCCCAGTTTTTAAAGCATACCCAGAAAAGAATATAGAATGGGTGAAAAATGGCTTTGAGTAAAACTTCACCTCTAAAAGGAAAATAAATATGATACAATGATTGTGAGACAGTAAGTAAGGATAGCTGCTCCTGACATCAGCAAATGCCACATCTCAGCCAAACGTGTTAATTTCTCCAGATGGTGCAATCTAATAGACCAACAGAGATTGGAGATAAATACCTTAATTCCCAAATAAAGTCCAGGCAAATACTTTTCCCAAAGCAGGAACTAAATATCCAATCAATATGCTTGATTTGACATTTGAAGGCACATTTTTCTCCTGTAATCAAATTAGCAATCTTAATACAAAGTATCCACAATAAATCTACATTTTGAGGAATTAGTCTCAGGACCATCTTCTTCAGTCTGATACCCAACCCCAAGATATATTGGGAGTAGAAATTTAATAATTCTTAGGCAGCTAGATTGTATTCCCAATATAGTGGACAATACAATGTTGCGGAAAAGTGTCTTAAATTACTTTTCTTTCAACTTTCTCATTGACCTTGATTGATCTACCATAAGTTAAGTAGGTTCATGGATTGTTTTTGGATAGGAAACCAGAGCTGTGGACCAACAATTTCTACACAGTTGCAAACAATTAAATCAACATAATTTCCTTGAGGGATATAGCTCACCTTTAGACAGGCAGGTGAAACAAATCTAATACAAGTATTGGGCTCCAGCTTTCCACCCACCATTTTATTACTGAAAATGTCCTGAGGTTCTCTTATAAATAAATATTATATTAAGGTAAGATATAGCAGGAACCAGGGAATGTTCACAATACATGGATTAATACAGAACTACATTGCTTACCCTAATATATATTAAAGAAATGATGGATCACGTCATAGGCTTTTTTAAATTGTATGTGCAAACTGCCACTCGTGTGGAGATCCTATTCATATTCTAATCAATATTTGGGGGAAGGTCTTCT